GCTAGCACTGACTCATCACTGATAAGCAGTTTGCAATGAAGAAAGCTGTTTTCGCATCCTTCCGTCCATTCCCACTTTGCTTCTTTGCGTAGTAGCCTGTACAGTGGTTCGAGGATTGTCGCTGTACCCGACAAGAATTTGGCGTAAAAATTTACCAATCCCAAAAAAGCTTTCAGCTCTGTGACGGACGTGGGTTTGGGCGCTTTCAGAATAGCATCGACTTTCTCCTTAGTTGGATGAATGCCTGCTTCATCTATTTCGTGACCCAGATACCTCACGCGGCTTTGGAGGAACTGGCACTTGGCAACATTTACTCGAACACCATGCTGACGGAGCCTTTTTAGCACCTGTTCCGTGCGTCTAAGACACCCCCTCCGTCCTTCCGGCAATCAACACGTCATCAAGATAGCACACTGTGCCTTCCAGCTCTTTCAATACGCGGTCCATTACAGACTGAAAAATTGCTGGCGCACTGGCAACCCCAAACGGCAGACGTGTGAAACGAAAGAGACCCAGGTGGGTGTTGATTGTCATTAGTTCTTGTGATTTAGCTTCCATTTCAAGCTGCAAATACGCTTTTGATAAATCGAGTACAGTGAAGCTTGTTCCTCCCGCCAGAGACGCGAACACATCTTCCGGCAATGGCAGCGGATAATGTGCCACCGTAATGCGGAGATTCAAAGTCACATGATAGTCTCCACATAACCTCACTGCGGTGCCGTCGCTCTTTGGCACCACAACAAGAGGAGTTGCCCATTCGCTCTCTTGTACAGGATACAATACTTCCTTCGCTTCGAGATCTCGCAACTCCCTCTCTACTTTGTCTTTCAGAGCGTACGGTACCACTCGGGTCTTGCAGAACACCGGTCGCGCTTCCGCTTTCAGAGCAATGGACCCACGGAAGCCTTTGATTGTGCCAAATGGCCCATGAAACACGTCATGGAACTTGTCTAGAAGAAACTCCTGCTTAGAGCTTACTGAGTTCACTCTCAGCACCTGCGACCAGTTTAAGCGGAGGTGTTTCAGCCAGTCCCGCCGCAGCAAAGTGGGTACCGTGCGCTCCTTGTCCGTAGCAGCTACCACTATTAGCAAACTAAAGCAAGCCCCTTCGTGTTTCACGGTGACCGTTACCCTGCCCTTCACTGGTACGGTTGTGCCATTATACGTTCGCAAAGAAAAATTCACTGGTTCATACTTCATTTCACTGAAATAGCCTAGCAGCTCCTTTTCCGGAATAATAGACACGGCAGAACCTGTGTCTATTTCCATCGGAATCAATTTTCCATTCACTTCAATCTGAACAACGTACGGTGGACAATTTGTTTCTTTAAGTACGTACAAGTCAACACTAGACACTTCTTGTTCTTCTGTGAAATGGCTTCGTTTAGTCCTACACATCGACGCTAAGTGTCCCAACTTCGAACAGTTAAAGCACCTTGCCTTAATGTGCCGGCAGTCCTGAGGTTGATGCTGTCGACCACACCTGAAGCACGACGGCTGTCGGTCCTTGGCCGATGTTGGTTGCCCTGGCCCCGCTGTCCCCCGTCGAAGCTGGTCGCTGCGTTGCCAGTTGGCGTCCACGTCCGACTGCCGTGAATGGGTTGGCGCCGGAACCATCTCCCTTGCGTGTCCCTCTGCCGCCTCCATCGATGTGGCGATGACACAAGCTTTTTCCCATGTCAGGGCGTTGCCGTCTTCTACGGCTAGCAGCTTGCACCGGATCCCCTCGCTGCGCACACCCACGACGAGCTGGTCTCGCAACGCTTCGCTCAAAAATGCACGAAACGAGCAGTTCATTGCCAACCGTTTCAATTGCACTATGAACTCGTCGATAGGCTCTTGGCTTCCTTGGGTACATTTGTGAAAACTGTACCGCTCCGTCACAATAGAACGTTTTGGCTTGTAATGCTTGAGAAGCCCATCTTTTATCTGCTGATAAGTTTTCTTCTCTGGCGTCTCCGGGAAGACCAGGTTCCGTAGGGTCATGTAGGCTTCGTCACCCAGTACTGTGATGACTACATCTGTTTTGCGCTGTTCGTCGAAATTATTGACTCTTGCAAAAGCTTCAAACCGCTCGAGGTAGACTTCCAGGTTACCTGTGGCGGTGCAGAATTCAGTCAACCGACCGATGAGCGGGTGGGTGACACTGGCCGATGCTCCCGTGTTGCTGTCCATGGTGCATCTCACTCCGGCTCGTCTCGTTTACGCCCGGTAGTTCCGTAACATCCTCGTCGCCATTGTTAGCACACGAGACCCAACTTGGTCGGAGACCAGTTTATTCAAGCGGCCTGGCCGCTACACAAGACTGAACAACAAGTCACGCCCACCAGGGCTGTTATATCATATCAGCACAGTGTTATCACACTAGCATCGGCCCCCTACTGGGCTAAGAATACAACACAAGGGAGCTTGCGAGGTTCGAAGACAGTATGTGTTCGAAAATTTTACATGGGATGCTGGCAAGTGATATTAGTCGGCAGTTAAGTGGAAAATGCTTGTTACTTGACTTATGAAGTGGCATCGCCTTCACGATTTTCCACTCAGCTGGGAGACAACCATTATCAACTGACTGCTGAAAATATTTTGATAGCATAACTAAACGATAAAAGCTCGTACATTTAAAAATTTGGGGCTGGTTATGTCTCAACCAGGAGCGAAGGAAAGTTTAAGTGGTTTAATTATGCGTTCGATACCTAAAGGCTCAATGATTATCGGAAACATAGCAGGATAGTGGTAGGAAATGGTAGTCGGAATCGTGACGTTGTAATTTACAGAAAAATTACGCGTAAAAGTGTAATTGAAGATAAATGGACATTGTTGAGGAAGAATGAGATTCCCTGAACTGTCAAGTAGTGAGATATTTTCATCATCAGTAGGGTTCATCACGCGACAAAAGTTTTTAATGTCAGTTCCAAGCATGAATCGCCAAGGCACTTTTATGGTATTTTTCTCTGGCTGTTTTAATTGCCTCCGCGTATTCATCGGAAGCCAGTTTGTAAGCGGCCCAACGAGCATTGTCTGAGGATGATTTGGCCGATTTGTACAGTCGCTTTTTTTTTTTTTGTTCGATAGACATCTGAGGTGGGGGCTATACCAGGAAGCATTACTTTTGACATGAAAGTGCTGTAGGTTTAGAAAGAGTTATATACGTAAAAACAGGGGACGGGACAACACATCTTTCAACTTTCAACAAACAAATGAATTTATTGCCGGACGCTTTGCCTTCGGAGCTCCACTATAGCAGAGGGAAAGTTAAAAGGAGGGGGAAGGGGAAGGAGGGCGGGGGGGGGGGGGGAGCAAGACAAGGACCCGGGACAAAACGTAAAGCGCAGAGACAGCGGAAAGGAGAGAAAGGAAGGAAGCATCCCGATTTCCCTCTCAGGAGCAAGGGGCGCTCGCCCGGCCCGCCAAGGCCGTCAACTCCGGTCTCAGGAATGTCACCTCTTTCTCGGACAGCGACAACGAGGCCGAGGAAATGTTCTTTGGCACCTCTTTTATGGCGAACGCTTCCACGATCTCGCGCCCGTAGCGGTTCTTGTTGGCCCCCAGAACACGCGCGGACGGGAACTTGGGGGCGCATGGAGCACAAACCTTGAGGTGATGGACCATGGGGTGTTGGGAGTCCTCGTCGTTTTTTTCTATTTCTCTTGCATGTTCGCGCAGGCGGTCGTTGAGGCAGCGGCCCGTCTGTCCGATGTACTCTGCCCCGCACGAGAAGGGCACTGAATACACCCGTCCGACCGCGCAGGGAACAAAGGGGGCCGCATGCCTCTTGGCGCAGCTGATCTTGGGAGGAGGGGGAGAGTTTACCAGGCGGCACATGGCGCTCAACTTGAAGGGGCACGAAAAAGCAACGTCCATGTCGAAACGTCGAGCCACTGTTTTTAGTCGGTGGGCGGTGTTGTGGAAATAGGGGATGGTTGTATACCTCTGCCGGGCAGGCTTCCGAGCGGCGGCTTTTTCAACTATTAGTTTTCTGAGCGTGGAGGCCAGCAGGTCGCGCGGGTATCCAGCGTTTGTGAGGCGGCTAAGCTGTCCCTCCAGGCTAGATGAGGAGAGGTGTTGACAGGGCTTTGTGCGGGTGGAGGAGATGAGACTTTTTGCGATGCCTGCTTTTACTGTCTTTGAATGGTGGCTAGTAAATGGTAGCACCGGCTTCTGCGTCCGCTGCTGGAAGCGCCAGCAAGCGCCTCCCTGGGTGGCCACAAGGCGTACGTCCAGGAACTGGAGACCCTCCGCCGAGGGGTCCTCCCTGGTGAAGCTCAGGCCATTTGCGTTATCCGTGAAGGCTTTCTGGATGGCGGCTGTGGGCGCGCCGGAGTCGTGGAGCACCAGATAGTCATCCACATATCTGAGCAGCTGGGTTCCTGGGGCGACGCTGTCCAGTTGCTCCTTCACGGCCTGATCCACGAAGGAAAGGTAGACTTCACTGAGCGAAGGTGCCAGGCAGGACCCGATGCAGACACCCGATTTTTGTAGATATATTTTCCCGTCATGCTCCACCATGGTCGACCGAAGATATACCCTGATTAATTGCCGGAACGCGCCGAGGGGGATGCCGGAAGAGTTTTGGAATTTGACGATACCCTGTGTGGTGATGGCTTTTTCTACCGCATCCAGGAGGATGTTGAAGTCGAGGCTGTAGTACATGTCGGTGATGTCTAGGGAGAAGAAGGTGGTACCTGGGCCTGATGTGTGGAGAAGCTGGAGGGCTGGGAGGAGTTCCTGAGAGCTGCCCACGCGGAAAGGCTGGTCCAGGGGGACGGCTGCCAGGTGCTTCTGCAGCTAGAGAGCCAGAGGCTTCTGCCAGCATCCATTTTCTGATACGATGCTCCTCAGCGGGATCTCCGGCTTGTGGGTCTTGGCGGTGAAGAAACTTTTAGATACTGGTTCGCAGGGGCCGACACTCTCGTGAGAAGCGACGAAAGGTTGTTCGACTTGCAGATGTCTTTGACTTCCGAACTCAGGGTGCCGGACGATCTTTTGTTAACGAGGACGAAGTTTTTCTTGATGGCGAGTTCAACCTTTTCACCGAAGTTAGACTCGTTCATAACCACAAACACTCCCGTCTTGTCTGCCTCCAAAAGCCTCAGGTCAGACCCCCTGAGTTCATTCACCACTTGGGGGAATTCTGGTTTGGTTGGGTGGGCTGCTCCATGCATGCACACCAAACGGGAACCAACGCCGACGAACTCTTGTCGGGCAGGCTCCGGAATTCTCGACGCGATCTGGTGTACCGCTGTGAGCTGATCCACTCTTGACGGTGTGACAGGGGGAGCGAATTTGGGTCCCTTTGAGAGCAGCGCCTCGGCTTGCGGTGATAGTTTCGAGCCCGAAAGATTCAGCGGAAGCTGAAGCTTGGGACACTGGTTCGCTCGTTTTTCTGTGGATGCAGTCGCAATTACGACCTTCCAAGATGAATCCGGGAGGTCTTGTCCTGACTTGGTTAGAAATATGTACGAAGGGTGAACTGTAAAGCGGGCATCGAAGATCTCCGTCATGAGACCGGGAAGTGACCTCTGCATGACAAGGATTTCCTGCGAGAGCTCACTGCGTGCTATCTGCATGACTCTGTAGTTGGCAGTCCAGCTGGCAGAGTTGAATCCAAATACCTGGTGGACGGTGGGGTGAGGGATGGTCTTCCTGAGGTAGAGTCCAAAGGATCGCAGGCGCAGGCGAAGCAGATACAGTCTCGAGATGAAGAGGGCGGCACGGAGAAAGGGGCCTGGCTGGAAACCCGAAGGTCCGACGCACGGCAGTTGTGGACGTGACAAACACATAGCTCTCGTAAATAATAAACTTCTTAGTGAGCGCGTTGGTAATGATGTAGGTTTAGAAAGAGTTATATACGTAAAAACAGGGGACGGGACAACACATCTTTCAACTTTCAACAAACAAATGAATTTATTGCCGGTCGCTTTGCCTTCGGAGCTCCACTATAGGAGAGGGAAAGTTAAAAGGAGGGGGAAGGGGAAGGAGGGCGCGGGGGGGGGGGGGGGGGGGGGGGCAAGACAAGCACCCGGGCGAGCGCCCCTTGCTCCTGAGAGGGAAATCGGGATGCTTCCTTCCTTCCTCTCCTTTCCGCTGTCTCTGCGCTTTACTTTCCCCCAGTTTTCTCCCGGGTCCTTGTTTCCCCCCCCCCCCCGCCCTCCTTCCCCTTCCCCCTCCTTTTAACTTTCCCTCTCCTATAGTGGAGCTCCGAAGGCAAAGCGTCCGGCAGTAAATTCATTTGTTTGTTGAAAGTTGAAAGATGTGTTGTCCCGTTCCCTGTTTTTACGTATATAACTCTTTCTAAACCTACATCATTACCAACGCGCTCACTAAGTAGTTAATGAAAGTGCTATAGGAATATACTTATTAGTTAAGTCTGATCTTGGCCACGAACATATCCCTGTAGGATTGCACGCTGCGAATTTCAAAGTCCTTCAAAAATGTATAGAGGAAAACGGATCTATCACTATTATTTGCATTTTGGTAATTACGGATAGTTTTCGTCTTTATTTTAATTTTAAGGCGCTGCGGGTTGACGTCAAATGTCAGAAGGGAATGATCACTCAAGCCAGGTAAGCAAGCAGTTTGTGAGATGAGATTAGGGCGAGATGTTAGTATAAGGTGTAGTGTATTCGCGATTCACGCCGTTATTGTTGCGGGTCGCTTGACCAGTTGCGTGAATGAAAACACAAAGCATAGACTTAGGAACTTATTTGCTAGAGTGGAAAAAGGTTGCATACAAGGCTATTCGCCGTCCCATGACATATATGGAATATTGAAATCGCCCAGTATAAATAAAGTACTGTGGGATAACGAGACAGAACTAGTTTAATTATATCGTGTAGCTCGTTATGCGGGTGGAAGAATAATTAGAGAGACGATAGAAAACACCAACAATAACTTTTCCTGATTTATTTCTGTATTAGCCCATACTATTTCCAAGTCGCTAGGGATGTAAATACACTGGGAAAGCAGTTTTTTAGGAATGGCCAAAAGAACGCCGCCTCCTAGATGCATTGTGTGGTCGTAGCGATAAACATGAAAATGATGTGCTGCCTCGAAGATTTCGTGATTGCGAAATTGAGAATGCAACCAGGTTTCAGTTGATGCTATGGTATTATGTTTGCAGGTATCTATAGCTGAGGTTCGTGGATCGCGCTTGTTAGTTAATCTAGAAGTGTTACAGAAAAGGACCGATACATCAGATGCGTTAAGACTACTGCCCCTCGCGTTTCCCTGTCCCTTATCGCGTGCTGAGGCACTCGGCTGTGGGTTATCAGAAGGACGTTGGGGCGCAAGTTCGACTATATACCGTATTTACTCGAGTAATAGCCGCACTATTTATGAACGAGGCCTTTGCGTCTGCTTTCCCGCAGAACACATATACAGCCAATCATCGCGTTGCGCATAAATAACATAGCTAATAACTAGATCCAGAAAAAGAGTCTCCATACAAATGCAACCTTCACAGATGGTATCTTCGCGCGAAGACGTTATCTTTGTCCTGTAAACCGCTGGAATCATGCTGCCAATTGCGGTGATTGGCAATTCGAGTGCTCCGCGGAAAAGCGAACCCTCAGGTTTTCCTCATTAACAGTGCGGCTATTACTCGAGTAAATACGGCATAGGCTCTCGGTTGCCAAGTGATTCATGTATTGCTTTTTGTTTATCAGTAGCGCAGTTGGAATGTCGATGACTCGGGTTAGTTTTTAGCAAACTCGATAAGCTTTCTTCGAGCATTACGCGTGGCGGGCGAAAAACCTTCGTTAACTTCTTTTTTTCTTTCTTCCGCTGCTGATTTCTGGGGGGCTCGGGACCAGCCAAGCTGTTTCAGCAGCTTTTTTCCCAAGCCCCCCCAACACTGTACCTCATTGTTGGAAATAAAGCTATTATTATTAACAGCAACGTTTATTTCCTTCAGCTAAGCGCGTGCCGAAAGGATACTATATGATTTTGTAGCCTGAAAACTTAACTAGAATGGGGCGGCATTTGTTTGGCGTAGGTAGCCCTAGGCGATGGGCGCTTTCAATGGAATATTCAGACATAATTAGAAGACGTAATTAGTCAATAATTCATACCTTAATGTAACAAGGAAGAAAAAGTCAGTGCACTTATGCAACCCGTGAGGTGAAACACCGCGACAGCTGAGGTGTGCCGTCGGAGCCGCTGAGGTGTCATTTCGGAGAAGAAGACCTTTATGACATAATTAGCGAAAACGCTGTTTTTATTGTTCCTATTATCAGCAATTTCATGTTTATGTTTCCACGTCACGGTCATAATGGCACGCGACGACGGATTTCACGTAACACCTCAATGTCACGTGACTTCACAGTGTCACGTGGCGTCATACATCACGCTACGTCATGACATAACGTGACCCACGGTGTCACCTGAGGTGATTAAGTCGCGTGGTTTCACTGTGCAACGGGACTTGACATGACAATGCCACGTCATGGTATCAACTGACGCCGGTAACAAGCGATTTGATGCGCGGCGCGACGGCAGAGTCGTGTCGAGCGGCGTGACGACGGGCTTGGACAGGCTCTACGTTCAACGTTGGATGATGACGGCGCCGACGGAGGCTATCTCAGAAGCCCTCGCACGAATGCCTCATTCGGGAATCCGGTTGGAGGGTCGGGGCGTCGGGGCCAGTTGGGGTGAGCGAGAGGATCGTTTCTGGGATCTGAACCTGTCGTTCTTCCCGTGTGTCGTGTTCTGTTGTCGTGTTCCCGTGTTGGTGTGCGTATTTAACGTTCCTGCGCTTGACTGGGCGAGTGTGTGCGTGCACGTGGACTGCTCCGAGGATCCGCTACTCTCGATTCTCGACAGGCCTATCAACTTAACGAGCCGGTGGTGGTGGGCGGTAATGTTGGGGTGCTGGCAAAAGTTGGAAGCTCGATGCGACGCCAAAGGTAGGGTTAATCAGGAATTAAGGATGACCTAATGTGTGTGCTATTTATAGTCATGTGCTAGTCGCATTCCCCCGCAGCGTTCCCGATCGAAAAAGCGTCGTCAAATGTACGGGAACGGCGGACACAGTGAAACCTCTGAACTATTTAGCCGGCCAGAAATTTTTAATTGGGCTGTCTCAGCTTGTAAACGGGCTGAGCTTGTAGAGGATAGTAGCGGTACGTGATGACAATAAGACTGAATCTTGGATTGTTTGTAAAAGCTTTGTAAAGTGCGTTACAATTTCGAACGGGTACGTTGTGTAATTTAGGCATCGTCCACTGCCTTCGGTGTCCGTTTTGTAAGTCAGCGTGAAAGTCTACTACGATGATAACACACCGATTAGCTGTCAAAAATAGGTTTCTGTGGAATATTGAGTGCATCGATATCACCGAAGCATTCCGGCGGAATCGCCGGAGTCGCCTGGCACGATTCCGGCGAACCTGCGAAGCAGCTAGGTTCGATGTACGCGATATCGGGCGTGCTATTTGTTTTTATTTTTTTTTGTTGATATTTTTCTGAGATTTAGGAGAAAATAAGTGCTGGTTTTCACTTGTTATCACCATCATTTGCTTGTTTTTGAACTGCTAACCGCTACCCCGAATGGTTGTTTTGAAGCGTGACATGACAACACCAGGACGAACCACACTGACCGATTGCATCTAGGCTAGGTGACGCAAGCTACCGCCCAAAGATAACCCGTAGAGACGATGCGGGTGCCATGGAGACGTGCATGCGTAAAATGGGACAGTTCGTCAGGGCGCGCTGGATCAGCGTTGGTCGACGCTGGACTGTAAACACCATCGTTCGGGCGCTTCTCGGTGAACCGAGTGGCCGACGAACGTCGGACTGCGCCGACGCGCGTTGTGTTCGTCGACGTTGGAGTATAAATAGCCCTTTAGTGTCAATTGAAACTTAATCCACAATACTTAGTTCACAGGGGACCGTCAACGGCGAGTTATACTCGGCGTCAACACCTGTGTGCTTTATTTGCAAGGCTATACTTCGTTTCACCTCAAAATCCAAGCGCGGGAAGGACCAATCAAACGGCGCAAGAAGCGCAACGTCATGGCGTGCTTTTTTCGCTTGATAGGACAAGCAGGCGGACGAGCACGCACACAGAAACGGCAAACATTTCTGGTCCTCGCAGGTGCAGAGAGCACGCCATGACGGCGTGCCTTTTTCGCTGTTTGATTGGCCCTTCGGCTCATAACATCGGCCCCGCTCGGACCTAAGGTGAAACGAAATATTGGCTATATCTCGTTTCAGTTAGGTGTGAGCGCGGCCGATGTTACGACCCGAAGGGCCAATCAAACAGCGAAAGAGGCACAACGTCATGGCGTGCTATCTGCAGTTCATAGCACCCGCCGGTATTCGCAGCCTCTCTGTGCGTGCTCCTCTGCCGGCTGGTCCTATCAAGCACAGAGAGCACGCCATGACGTTGCGCTTTTTGCGATGTTCGATTCGCTCCTCGGTTCATAACATCAAGCGCTGGGACCTAAAGTGAAACGAAGTATAGCATCCGCAGGGCTCCCATTCTGTCAAAGCACATAATGTCGAAGGGAGTATTATCTGTTTTAACACCACTCTCGACACTAAAAAAGCCCTCCTTATCAACGTGCACGCGCCCGCCAATAACAAACGTTTCAACAATTTCTTTCACGCCTATTCTCAGCGTCAACTGTTTTCTGCTACGTCACCAAGGTTAGCGTAGGTTCCACAGTACTGCAACTCTGTCAAAGCTACTTGCGCGAGTGGGTGCGAATGAAGCGCAAGATAAAGCCGAGTACTTTCACAGCAGTGCGGGGAGCTGCAGCGCTGTGGGCGTTACGCTGGCCTT